ACAGCTCTGCACTGAGACCTCTTGTTATCAGCATGCTACCGCCCCACTCTGATGGGATGCACGCTGAAACATGGGGCTGTCTGGGGCTCTTCAGCGTTCTGCCCCTGGGGTTCATGAAATGCTGCACAATCTGAAATCCAGCACACATCACTCGGCGGGTACTCCCTGCAACACAACACCCCCGAGCTATACCTGAGTCTTGTGCCATCACTGGCCTTCTTCACAGACCCTGGCCCCTACAGACCTCTGAATGTCATCACATTTGGTTAGCGCTTGGCTGTGATCTAAGTCTCTCCAGATGAGATTCTTCTGCCATCATTTCGATCCAGTTTATCTATTCTATGCCTTTATTTTAAGGCTACCAGGTTGTCCCTATTCTCCTGCACAGTGCACTCACCCTTACGTGTAGGCTCCCAAATCCATTCCAAATGCACTGAGGCCGGGAGCACACTCGGACTGGGGTCAAATCTATCCCAAGTTTAGGCCTTTTGATGTCAATGGAAACAGAGCGGGGAGGTATGTGGACCAGTGTGCTTTGCATTTACTCCTGCCTAACCATTACCCGCACCCCACAGCTTATATAGCAAAGTAGCGCGGACTGTCTCCCACGCTGGATGCACGGACCTCGCCTCCCCTAGGGAAGCGGTGTGTGGAATGGGCATGCTCTGAGTCAGCAGGTTTCCTCAGTGCTCTGAGAATGCATTTTATTAAACCTTTATATCCAAACACACCACGAGGAGCCCCTGAAAGTATGACTGTCCCCAGATAAACTTGCGCTGTGTACCTTGAGGCCATGCTAAGCAGTGCCACTTTGAGGTGACATGTACTACATGTAAGTGTAACATAGGCAGATCCCGATTGAGCTTAGAACATGAGTCTCTACCACCTGAGCTAAAAGCCAGTTGGCTGGCTGGTAGCTGAGGTTGTAGAACAGACTCATTATTCTCTCAGGGTATGTCTACACTACCCCGCTAGTTCGAACTAGCGGGGTAGTGTAGACATACCCTGAGAGAATAATGAGTCTGTTCTACAACCTCAGCTACCAGCCAGCCAACTGGCTTTTAGCTCAGGTGGTAGAGACTCATGTTCTAAGCTCAATCGGGATCTGCCTATGTTACACTTACATGTAGTACATGTCACCTCAAAGTGGCACTGCTTAGCATGGCCTCAAGGTACACAGCGCAAGTTTATCTGGGGACAGTCATACTTTCAGGGGCTCCTCGTGGTGTGTTTGGATATAAAGGTTTAATAAAATGCATTCTCAGAGCACTGAGGAAACCTGCTGACTCAGAGCATGCCCATTCCACACACCGCTTCCCTAGGGGAGGCGAGGTCCAGCTCACCATACCCAGAATGTGTATTAGTTAGATAAGTAGTCTGGAAAATATCGATGGTCCTGTGTTGAAAAGGGCTGTCCGGTTTAATACTATACAGGGCTGGCCCACAACATTTTGGCACCTGAGGCAGGGAGCTCAAATGATGTTCCCCCTCACTTGGGTCAAAATTTTGAAAGGTCTTAATTCTGCCTTCTTCCTGTTCTACTCCTCTCATGGTACTGCAGAGAGAATACATATGCACCAGCAGCAGACACAATTTTCTACACTCTGGGTCCTAGTGGCGTCCCCCCACAGTCTGGCACCTGAGGCAGTTGCCTCGGTTCACCTCATGGTAAGGCCAGCCCTGATACTGTACCATACAGAACCTGCAGGATTTTCAATGTTGTAGTCACAGTAACATACAAACTACCATATCACATCAGCCTGTGCTCCATCAATATTATGTCTCCAACAAGGAGCAACATCAGGTGATTTGGAGGAAGGTGAAGGAAATCTCACAGAAAAGAGCAATGGAATAACCTGACCAAAGAGAAAGTTTCTTCCTAAAGATGATGTCCTCACTCAGGCTGTGTCTAGACTCAGGGTTTTTTTCGGAAAAAGTAGCCTTTTTCTGAAAAAACTTCACCTGCGTCTAGACTGCAGCCACGGTCTTTCGAAATTAAATCGAAAGAACGCGGCTTTTCTTTCGACAGTGGTAAACCTCATTGTACGAGGAAGAACGCCTTTTTTCGAAAGTGCTCTTTCGAAAAAAGGCGTTCTTGAATGCAAACAGGGGTTTTTCAAAAGAGAGCATCCAGACTGCCTTTCGAAAAAGCGGCTTGCTTTTTTGAAAGTTCCGCTTGCAGTCTAGACGCTCTTTTTTGAAAGAGGCTTGCAGTCTAGACATAGCCTCAGGCAAAAGTACATTGAAGTCAATGGGTATTTTGCTTGCAGCAAGGACTGAGTAAAGAATTTGGCCCTAAAACTTTAGTACAAATTAGAAATAGATGAGACTAAGAAAGAAGATGAGTGAGAGAGAACGAGCATGTGCACTGACCTTCTCAGTGTCTTACAGGGAACCTGCAGTTATAGAGATTTCAGTTATCTTAGCTCTTCAAAGGCACAACAACTCCTGCAAGCAAAACCACTACTGCCCAGCAGTGAAAGGGTCAATCGCTCATGCTGTATCCATCCACTAGACGGAGACAGGGTCCAGTACACAGTGGAGTGTGTGTTTCCTGCCCAACAGCAGCAAGTTTAAAGTGAAAAAGAAAACAAGTAACACAGTTCCTGGATATTTTTGTTGCCCATTTTGCAGCCACATTAAAAGTAACTTCAGCCTCCATGAACATGACAGTAGAGAACATTACATACCACAAGAACGAATAGGCGTTAGTCAGCAGAGGGGAAGGGTTACTGTAAGAGACTGCAAGTGATTTCATAGCCTTCCTATAGAATACGTGCAGCTAAGGATTTTCTCCTCTGGCCTCAAACTGCCAACACCCAGCACCAATTAACCCTTTGAATGCTAGATGTGCTCTTTTGGGGCAAAAAGCTTTAGCACAGTGCAGCAAACATGGTTGGAATCTGGGCACATACCTTTCACTGCTAGTCTACAGACCAATGCAAGCTGCATGCCCAGCATGAGATATTTCCTTAAAGCAGGGGGAAAATTTATTTGGAGGTTCCTGTTTTAAATAACAGCTAAAGCTTTTCCTCTGGGATCTGTACAAAGGTGATTCAGCATGATTGTCATCATTTTATGCATGGGGAGATCCTAGGGGATTTTATGGAGCAGAAGTCTCACCAAAATTGGGCTCCAAAATCCCATAGGTGCTTTTGAAAATATTCCTGAGGGACTTGCCCAGAGTCATACATCAAGATAGCGGCAGAGCAGGAAATAATACTGTGATCTCTGCCCTGCCAGCATAGGGTCCTATCCGTTGGGCCATGCTGCTTCCCAGTTCAAGTAGGCTGCTACCTTTTGATTATTGCATTTGTTTTGGTCATTTGCATATTTCTTTCTTTCTTTCTTTCTTTCTTTCTTTCTTTCTTTCTTTCTTTCTTTCTTTCTTTCTTTCTTTCTTTCTTGTAACTTTCATTTATTTTATTTGAATTAGAGCAGAGCTGTGGTTTTGATTTGCTTTTTGTGCATTTATTTAATTGGATTTGGAATGGGATTTTCAAAAGGATATGACTGCAGCATGTGTAGACATTCACTTTGGAAGTAAATTAAGATTAAACTGAATTAAGGCAACTTTAAGGCTGAATAAGAGCATCTGCATGAGAATATAATGGGGTTTAACTAACCCACTTCAAATTTACACTGTTGATGATTTAGCTTAACTTTCTTGGGCATCCCTCTGTGGACAAGCCCTCGGGAACACACATCTCATTTAAAATCAAATAGAAAGCTGCTGGAGTATATAGCCAGGGTCATGGGCAGGTGTGTACAGCCCATGGAGCCCTGGCTTCACTGCTATTGTGTGAGCTAACTGGATCAACATCACCTGGATTTTTTAATAGGGTGGGAGAAGGGGAGTAGAATTTGCCTCTCAAATCAAAGGGGCACGTAGGGTATGTCTACACTACCACCCTAGTTCGAACTAGGGTGGTTAATATAGTCAATCGAAGTTGCAAATGAAGCCTGGGATTTAAATATCCCGGGCTTCATTTGCATCTTGCCAGGCGCCGCCATTTTTAAATCCCTGGTAGTTCGGACTCTGTGCCCACGGCTACACGTGGCACGGAGTAGGTAGTTCGAATTAGGCTTTCTAATTCGAACTACTGTTCCACGAGGAGTAAGAGGGCCTTATTCCAAATCAGTTTAATTCAGAATAATTCTGGAATGAAAGTCAACACAGAGTTAATCAGAAATAATTATTTTGCTTTCAGTTCACATCCTACTTTAATGTGAATTCAATTCTCTTTGTAGACATGCCCTAACTGTGGTACAATTCATCTATGTCTCTGAACTGCATGTGGGATGGATCTCAGTTAAGATGTAGCTCCCGGAGGATTAACAGAGAGGGGCATTAAAACCTGCAATTTGACTCCCCAGAAGTAACTAAATTGAACAGATCCCTGGTCGTGAGGGTAAGGAAGCCCAAATAAAGGCAAACACCTCAGTGTGGCAAGATATCCATGTCTCAATGACATGCGAGCAGAGTAAGGGGCTGTTGAAATCTCAGGCAGTCTAGATGGAGATGTTCAATTATGCTTAAAACCTCAAAGTGGTTTAAAAAATTCTCAGACTTGTAAGGCAGCCCACTGAGTTTAGTTAACTGAAATGTAATAGCATGGCTGCATCTCCTCCACATCCCTCACCACTGTCCTGCCTAGTATACGCTCAGCCAGATCTTAGTATTCAGTCAGCTCTCTGGGCATGCCCATGCAGTAGGAGTGATCAACACAACTCTTAGTTTTACCTCTGTCTGTCAAGTTAAATTAATCAAATTGCTTCTAGGAACACATGAGGGAAGAACATCCCACTTGATCCTACTTGTTTTCCTTCCATTCTTTTTTCCATTTACACTGTTTATTAACTGGAAGGGCTGACAATGACTTTATCAATGTGCCCACACTCCTTATCGCTCCCCTCGATTTCTCTGAGTTAGCCAGCTTTATGTTACAAACAGACTTCGATGTGACATGGGGCCCACTTCCTTGCATTTCCTGTTTTACCTAAATTTGAAACTCTCTGGCAGGAAGTGACCCATCTTGCAGTCGAGGCGAGCTTGGCTGATCTGCTTCAGCAGGTCCTTCTTGCTGCAGCCATATCCGTTGAAAACAGAGCCCCCGAAGAGCAGCTTCCCTCCAGCGTACATCTGTTGACAAACAGGCAGGAAGAAGAAAGAGAAAAAAATGCTTTGCTATTAAAAAAAAATAATAAAACCAAGTGTTAAAGCTTGGGCCAAATGGCTTCCCTTTCCTGTTTTGCACAGGACTCTTAGATGTTTTCACCCTCTGGTTAGGGGCTCTGAGTGCTACAAACACACACACTGCCTTCAGAGCAGTTAACACCATCAGTTCTGACTGGAATTCAACTTACTTTTTTGCGTAGAAAGCACTTTTGCCAGCATTGTTTCTATGAAACCACTGGACATTAGTGGTACCTAGATATTATGCTCTACTTTAGCACTAAGATAGGGTAGATTGGATGAAGTTGTAACACAAACATGGCCGCATGAATTTTTGAACTATTTGAGGTCCTAGAGTTGTGCAGAGTTTGGTGTTTCCCCTTCTCCTGAGTTTTACTGGGGAAAATATTGTTGGTTCTGATTAGTGGTAGGCTTATACCCAGTGAGTTTTGTTGGAGCCACCCTCAAACTTCATAGCATTGTCCCTCCCCTCCCCCGGAACAGTGGCTGTAAACACCACAGAGACTGGAGGAGAAGATATCTGAGCTTTTAATTGATGTGTTCATGGGACTAATGTGAGACTGGTGATGTCAGTGTTTCAGTACAGGACAACTTGTTTCCATTTCCATGCCTCCCTCTACTTATAAGTGCAGGTTAGGAATATAAACTCAAAACTCAATATTGAAAATTCAAGAGGGATGCTGTTTATGTGGTGATAGCTTTCTCCTGAACCCTGTTTTCTTGAAACCTCAAGCCTAATATTACTGATCAGAGAATCAAGCAAGCTCTAAAATTGTGCAAACATTAAGGGTTTCTTACACTTTCTTTTGATTATTTGTTTCAATTGGTTTAATCGGTGCAGGTTTAATTAATCTTGTCCCCTAGAATTTAAGGCCATGTGAACCCAAATTGATACCTTCTGGAAACAGCTGTATTTTTCCTGGGTTTGGATGAAAATTTCAGCCAGCTGAAAAATAGAAGGATTTTTCTGGGCTCTCTGGGCAACATTTTTAGTACTGTGTACTCCTGCTTATGTTCGATGGTCTGATTCTGAATTAAAAGCCATGTGAATCCAGAGCTGCACGTGTCAGGTTTTTTTTTCTACTCTAGCCCAGAAATCAATCCATACCTGGGCTCAGATTTGCAACTTTCTGAAAATCTGGGCTCTTACTTCTTGGGTACAAACCTAAGCTGAATCTGAGTCTGCTGATGTTCATCATTCTCTACTATTGTTTACAGGATGCTTGCAGGGAGTCGTATGACCCTTTCTGAAGTGTCTTCATGCCAGTTCAGTGATGTAGATGTCAAAAAGGGGTGAACTGATCTTCTGGAGAATTCCCCCAGGAAAGAGGTAGCATAGGTAATCTAGAGCACCACCTGAGCATCTAACAGCACAAGGGGCTGGCTGGCAGCAGGGGGAGAGGAATGTCTCTAGAGTGTGGAGTACTTCCTTGGTTGTGGAATACAGAACAGCCTAATGGTGGCTGTTGGCAACTGCCATCAGTTAGAGCAGCCTTAGCAGCTGCTCTAACTTACACTGGGAGCCAAATCCTTGTCCTCAAATTAACTCGGCATCTCAGAGGTCCAAAGGTATCACAAAGCTTCTTGCTAGGCACAGCAAGATTCCAGGCCCTTCAACTTCCACCTAGAGCAGGATACATTCCACAGCAGCTTTTGTGAGGTTCAGGACTTTCAATGGATATATATGGGATTAATGTGAAATCTTAATATAGGCTTTACAGCCTCACAGTCTTTGTTTTCTGATGGGGGCAATGCGGGAGGAGAAACATTACACTTCAGTCCTGTGCATTTTTTTTTCCATAGAGTTCTTTGTACATAACATCATAAGGGAAAGGGAAGATTTCAAGACGAGACTTAACAGAGGAGAAGTGATTCAGTGGAACATTACTGGGGGGCAGCACAAATGAAGAAGCCACCCTGCTCCAACTATAGACTGCCCTAGGGAAGAGATCTGGAACGAAGGTGGCGAAGAGGGGTGGAGAAGTGAGTGGCAAGTGGATGGGGAAGACGACACAGGGTGTGGAGATCTATGGAGTAGAGTGCTTTGGTGGATATGCGATCAGAGCAGTAGGGTGGAGCCTGAAGGAGCACAGTGCATAGGAAGGGGGAAGGGGCGAGGTAGGAAGATGTGAGGTCAGAACAATCGGGTGCAGACAGGGAATAGGTAGCTCTGTGCAAGGTGGGACAAAAGGAGGGGTGTGAATGGGTGGCAGGTGCATAGAGGGAATAGGACGAGAGCTCAGAATGGTGGGGCACAGATTGCAGGGAGCTATGGAAAGTGCCTGGGTGGTTGTGAGTGGTGGGTTGCTGGGGGCCAAATCCCCGTTACACATACTCACTCTGTTGCTATATCTGTGTGAGGAAGAAAAGGGCTGTTTCAAAGCTGAAGCTCGTTGATGGCCTCACAAATTAATCTTCCTTCCGTTCAAAGTGTCTGGTGTGGGCAACTGGCCTGAGTTCTGTGTGCCGGCAGCTCCCTCTGGTGTTAGCAGGCAGAGCTCTCTGAACTGTGAGGAGGAGTAGCAGCAGAGGCTGTGGAAAGGCAATGGAAGCCAGCACTGATCTTTTACCAAGTGGAAAGCCAGAGGGGCTGTGTGTTTAAACAACCAAAGATCTCAGGCATCTAACTACAGAAACTGGAAAAGGAGAGGGTGTGTCTGTAACAAAGGTGCAATAGAGCCACTTATTGGAAAAACTTCCAAGCTGCATTACTGTGTTTCTGTTCTGCCTATCCATACTTCACAAAATTAGGTAGATGTGGCCATGTTCATTTGAACATAGGTAATGTAACACACAAGGTCTCCTGAGATAGTTAGAGGTACATATCCTGATTTCTTCTTATGGATCTATCTTTCATGTGAAAGGGAGGAGGAAACAACTGGGAGACCTTGCGGGGGGGAGGAGGGGTGCAGAGTTGAAATATATTCCTCATTTCAAGGAGGTCTTTCTAAATGGGAATGAGTCTCAATGCACTTAAGTATTTTGCATCTCTGGCAGCTGTATTCATCCACCCTCAAAGAAGAGGGGACTCGGAGTACAGTTGTGTTGAATGAATTAGCTTATTACCTTGAGGTTGGAGAAGCTCTGTCTAATTTAGCATATCCCACATGGCAGCCTGCAAGCTACAGATGGGTGGACATGCAGCAGCATGACTGCTAAAAGGAGCAAGCCAACACGAGTGCTTAATGTTCCCAATGTAAGATTTACATTGGTTGTCCATCAGACCATGTACAATGTTGAAGGGCCTGTTGCTTATCTTCCAAGCCCTGGAAAGGAGAAGGACCATGTTATCCAAGGCACCTCCTTTTCCACTTTTAATTGCAACAATTGCATTCCATAAAAATGTTCCAGGTGACAGAATCCAGGTTCGCCATCAAAGGAGGCAATGACAGGGCCTCGTTGGAGGGCCCATAGCTAACAATGACATTTTCACCAGCTATCGGGTTAAGTCCAATTCTCTGCATCTACAGATCCTGCAGCAGAACTCAGCCTCTTTGGCAGACATTCTATTAACTGCTGTGTTGAACCAGCCCCACCAGGGAATGGAGGACCAGGACTTCTGGGTTTTATTGCTCACTCACTGTGTGTACTTCTACCAGAAGGGACTCAGCAAGAAAAACAACTAACAGGGATGTGTGGGGGGGGGAGAGGGGAGGGGAGGAGGAAATCAAGATTCCTTGACTTATTTTACAGATTCCCTTACTTGTTCCTCAGCGGGTGTAAATCAGGTTGTCTCTAGGCTACAGGTTGTTTTTTTTTTTTAAAAAGTGGCCTTTTTTCGAAAAATCTTCCCCTGTGTCTAGACTGCTGCTGCATTCTTTCGAAAGTACATCAAAAGAACTCAGCAGTTTTTTGACCACGGAAAACCTCATTTTATGAGGAATAACGCCTTTTTTTAAAAGTGCTCTTTCGAAAATTAGGCATTATGTAATGCTAACTCTGCTTTTTCACAAGAGAGCATCCAAACTGCTTGGGTACTCTCTTTCAAAAAAGCGGCTCATTTTTTTGAAAGTACTGGCTGTAGTCTAGACGCTCTTTTTTGAAAGAGGCTTGTAGTTTAGACGTACTCTCAGTGTGGCTCCATTTAGGTCAAAGAAGGCAATAAAGCTACACCAATATGTACCTGCTGAGAAACTGATCCTTTCCTATTTACTCATAAGCCCCTTTCAGGGAGATAGTTAATTTCCCAGCTCACCTGCAGGCAAAACAAAGTTCAGTAAAATGACTGCAACTATTAGGCTTTTTAAAGCCCTTTCCATTTCTGTTGAGACATCACAATTTGAGGAGGGTTTGTCAGGTCTTTTGGAGTGGCCCCATACTTATTGTCCAGCCAGGGCTATAGAAATGCATTGGCTAGTCACAAACAAAATCCCAGCACGATGTGTTCAGAAAGTCTTCAGTGTAAGAATTCTTCTAAGTGCAGTAGAGGTGGGGAGCTGCTGGGAAAAAAAAATCCTCATACACCAGAGCATATGGGGGCCCAAGCTTGTAGATTTTGTGTGCTCCAGCCCCGTGATGGAGTAGCAGGGTGCTGGAGCACCAGTGCAGGCTCCCCAATGCTGTGGGGAGAGCCCTGAGCCTCGAGGACCAGATTCAGACAAGCCAGGGGGCCACAGGTTCCCCTCCCCCGAAGTACAGGATAGTCACAATCTGTTAGTCACACTGTAGAACTGATCACCGAAGTTGCACAGGCCTGTTTCTACCCCCAATAGATATTTCAAGTTGGCCACCTGAGCACTCCTTCAGTGAACCTTCAAGCAAGCACTCGGTCACACAGGTGTCCACAGGTAGCCCCCTCTCCCGCCTCTGAATGTGTCCGTGGGGCATTATCTGCTGGCTTTTGCTTTGCATAAACATTCTTGCAAACAGGAAAAGAAGTGGCTTTGCAGGAGTGTTTGTGGGAAAGGGCTGTACAGGATATGAAAGGGAACTTGACTGATTGAGATGTCACCCACTTATTTACAAAAAGCTTCAGAGCAGTGTTTGGCTGTGTGCCAACTGATATTTTGTTGCTGTGGGACTAGACTGAAGAATTTACCAAGTGCTTAGGGAACTATGAAGCTCAGTGCTAATTACACTGGGGGTACAAACGGTGTTTAATTTGTGCCAAGGATTTCCAGAGCTGAGCCCCAGCACCCTTAGCCTTGGTAGTTCATAGCCCCAGCACATCTGGGCTTGTTAAATTGCTTGAGCCTTGGCACCTAATTACTTGAGTCCTGACACTGCTCTCATTACAAATTAAGTGCCTGCCCTCCAAGAGAAAGAAGCAGCTGCCAGGCAACAGCTGCATCTCAGGACCGAACACTCTTCTGCTTCTAATAATGCAGCAGAAAGATTAAAACTGCAAACTTCACAAGAGACAATTGGGTGGCTCCCATCCCGTTAGCTACAGAGAGACTGACTCTTACTGATTGATAATGGCACTTTACCTTACCCATTGCACAGGGCAGCTTATTGACATGTGCTCTAATAGGTACTATCATGGAAGAGGAGGGGAATCAGGAAGAGCCATTTAGAGTGGAATGACCATCAACTTCATCTATTCAAATACTCCTAGATAAAGAACTCCTCCTTGGGTGAGAGAAGCATAACTTTGCTTTCTATTCTAGCTCTCTGCATTAGCTCAGCTCAGTTATTCTACTCAGCACATGATACCCACCAATGCAATTGCTGTCGAGGCATTTACACATTTTCAAACAATGGCTTCTGTCCAGGAAGAAATCACAACACACAGCTCAGCAGAGCATACCCGCTGACCTTTCCTCCTAGACACTCCTTTCCCCTCTCCTGCCACCGCCCACACAGGGCTTTCTAAATCTTCTCTAGGGACTTGGTCCATTTCATAGGGTCAGACATGGGCATGTTGTGGGTGGGATCTGTTTACCACTGGCAGCAAAGATTAAAAAAAAAATCCAGGGCAGGAACAGGGGTGTGGGAGCTAGATTTAGGGGCATGATGAGAATTGATGCAATGTATCACATGGCTGGGAGATTAAATAGACATAACAAGAGCTATTGTACATCTGCCCACTACAGCACAATTGGTATCACTGGTACTTATTCAGCAGCTGTCATTCCAAGTGGTCAAAGCACTTTACACAATAGCAAACTAATATGATCATGTATTCATGTCCATGATACAGATGGAGAAACTGAGGCATGGAGTGGTAAATAACCTGCCCAAAGACACACATTAAGTCAGTAGCAAAAGAAGACTCCAGGTACCCTAACTTTCATGCTGCTTTTTTGAGTTGGCTCCATTTTTCTATCTTTCTGCCTCCCGCAGCTATTGCTAGTTTTCAAAACTGTAATCTTCCCCCTTCCATGGTGCTTTAAAGTTACTCATGCCAGACAATGACTAACATTTTATTTGAAAAACTACCTTTAAACAAATTTGTTATTAAAATTTCATCCCTTCATCCAAGTCCTTTCTCTGGAAAAACTTTAGAAATAAATTCTTGGCTACACAAGTCAAAGTCCTTTCAAGCATTAAGTTCACCAAGCATTAAATGCATCTGCAATGACCTCTGTTTTGACTATAAAATCTTATTCGCCTGTACATCAAGGCTGTATGTTAACAATAAGTTTAACTGTGTTGAGGAGGTCAGGTCTGGTTACTAAAAGGAATGAATAATAACCATATAACCACTCTAATCCCTGATCTTGTCAGTCCAATGAGACACGAGAGTGTTACACCTTCCCAGGCAGAGATTTACAAGGTTGTCAAAGAGCCATTCTAGAACACAGGAAGGCATTCATTAATAGGCTCTGCCTCATGCACAGCCTTCTCTGACTTGGCACCTTTTTCAATGAACCCAGATAAAGACATCTCATGCTAAAGCGGCGAGGAGTCCTGTGGCACTTTATAGAATAACCGAAGTGTTAGAGCATAAGCTTTCATGGGCAAGGACCCACTTCATCAGATGCAGGTCTTTGCCCACGAAAGCTTATGTTCCAACACTTCGGTTAGTCTGTAAGGTGCCACAGGACTCCTCACCGCTTTTGCAGATTCAAGACTAACATGGCTACCCCTCTGATACTTGACATCTCATGCTGTGAGCCAGAACTCCCAAGAGGAGAACTGCACTTCCTTGTCATTGGCCCTTCTGAGAGGAGTGGAATTTCTAGCCATTCAGTATCACGGTATTTCTTCTGTACGAAACATGGGAAGTGGATTCTAGTCTGAGCTCTGTCACTGATTCCATGTGCAATATGGGTAAAGCCCTTAATTTCTCCTTGCCTCCATTCCCCAAACTTCAGAATTGACCTGGTGCTTGTTTCCCAGGACAGCTTGAGTGCCTAGATTCATTGTAAATTGTGTTATCTTATTCTTTGGATAGATGGTGCCATGTAGCAACAGAGACTGAGTGAGGGCAGGGTTTTGGTTGGATATTAGAGAGGGGCTGGTAAATTATTCACATTCATCAGCTGATTAGGAATAGTCAACATACTAACACTGACTGACAGTGAATTTCTGTTGGTATAGATTCTTCAGCTCTTCTACTCCAAAAATGTGAGGGCTTAAATACTAAAAGGCAAAACCCTGAGGTCCTTATTTGGTTACAACTCTCATTGAAGCAAACAAGTGATTTGATCCACTTGGATTATCTAGAATATCTGATGAATATTTATTTATTTGGTGAGGTGGCTGTTACTGTCAGGCTACATCTACACTGGCAAGTAGCTTCTTATGCAAGAATTGTTTTGCAGAAGAGTTCTTGTGTAAAAAGTCTTCCACAAGAGCGCGTCTACACTGGCATGTGCTTTTGCACAAGATATGTGCTTTTGTGCAAGAGCATCTATGGCAGTGTGGACGCTCTCTTGTGCAAGAGCTCTTATTCCTCGCAGGGAGAAGAATAACTCTTCTGAAAGAAGCCCTGTTTTCCGACACTAGACTGTAAATTTACTTGCGCAAGAACGCACGTGCAGTGTAGACACCCGTCAAGTTTTTGCACAAGAAGCCTCCAGTGTAGATGTAGCCTCAGTGTTGAGATGGCCATGTCTATTATTTGTCGGGCATTTTAGGATGCTTCAGAATTAATGGTACAATCACGAGTGCTCTTTAGGGTTACTTATTTAACTTTAAAAATGTGCTTAAATGTTAGGCTAGATGAAGGCTGTATAATCACATTACCTCGCAGACAGTTTAACCCTGCGACACTGAAGTGGATGGGAGTTTTGCCTTTAAGTTCAGTAGGAGTAGAATCAGAACGAGTATTTCGCAATACAATCATTACTCAGGTGAGACAGGCAAGGGCTCCATTTTGGGATGGTACAGGGGGCAGCAGCCATGCGCTCCATGACCCAGCTTGCTTTTCATCCTGTTCCCCGGTTGCTAATGGAGTGAGGGGAAAGTGCTTGTATTCCATGCCTGCCTCTCATACTTGGCTAGTGAAAGGTGCTCACCTGCCAGGTGTGAGAGGCATGCATGGAATGCAAACACTTTTCCCTCCCTTGGCACCTGGGGAATGGGATGAAAAGCAAGCTGGGTCCCAGAGTGCCTAGCTGCTGCCCACCCTACCATCCTAAAATCAAGTCCATGAAGACAGGACCATTTGTGGTCCTTAAAAGCCCTTCAGGAACTTTTTCATGATATGAAGTTGCCAACCCCAGTTTCTGCACCAAATTCCAGCACAGGCAACATTCTGCTGCCCTGAACTGCTATGGTAGTTTCATTCAGATATATTCTTCAGTTTGTTCTAATCCTAAAAGGTTCAGTCATCTTGCTGGGCTGTGTAGACTTGCTCTGACCCATACCACCCCAAAAGTGGTTTCATTTCAGGGAGAGGTAGAGTGAGTACTGACATAGACTGTCTGTCACTGTTGGTTTGTGCTCAGACAGTCTAGGACAAAAGGTGTTGGGTGAAGCTGAATAGCTATTGGATTGGTAAATAAAGATGGTGTCTACAATCAAACAGGAATGTGACTGGTGACCAAACAAAAGTTCTTGCTGTTCTTCAGTTGTAGACTCTCTGCTGCTACACATTCATCTCCTCATTTGGCAATGCAAATAGGTAATGAAAGAAGAGAAGATGTACACTGGAGGAACGCATATAGCAAGGTGACCTTGGGTTCCTTGAAGAGGCATTTGGGATTCAGCCTTCTTCAAATGTCTGTGTGTGGGGGGGGGGGGGGGGGAGAATTCTTGGCTTGGCCCTTCTTTGTAAGATGGATTTGAACTGTATAATGTGAGACTTGAATCCATCCAAATGTGGAAAGTTTGGATCAGGATCCATATCAAAATATTGCAGCTTTGTCCCATTGCTGTTTAAATGAACTTCTCTCCTACCTCAAAACTACCATCCTTCCTAGGGTTAATGTGATTCATAGCCAGCAAATAGATGTTTTAATGAGTCAGTGACTCTTTCTCCTTCAGCTCATGCTGGTACTATTCAGCCTCATTTACAATGGAGCTGGCTGGCAGGCAGCACTATGTATAATGCAGTCACCCCTGAGTACCATACATCATAAAGACATAGCATGCTGACTGAGTCACTGAGCCAAAGGTTCAGGGTCCTTCCAAGCAGCAAAACTTCCAGACTTACCAGCACCATTCCCGGAGTGACAGCATGCTTCCGCACGAGGAGAGGAGGCAGGGGTGGCTTTTGTCTTATGACCCTGTCCATGTCATACCTCAGTAAGCGGTAAGGGTCATGTCTGCACTAGAAATGAACGAACACGGTCATTCTTTCTGGGTGACAGATGTGTAGACACTTTGCATAGTGCACTAAGGGAAGGGGCTAATACTACAGAGATGAGCACAGCATAAAACCCTGAATAGAATAAAAGAGGTCTTTGGGAATTCCAGTGGGGTTTCAGCTAAAAAATAAAGCCTTTACCTTTGCCCGTTTTTAAATGACAACCAGTGTCAGAATTACTGAAAGGAAGGATGGAGAACATAAGTGATTTTGTCAATACCTCCCAGTCCCACCAAGGCAAAGGTATGGTTCCTGACTGGTATTTGTGAGGGACATATCCAGTCTAGTTTTAGATGATGAAGTGATATAACACTATTTAACAGGTCTCACCAAAATATTTTATCTGTGAAGGCTTAGAGAGAAATGAGCTGCTGCACTGCATTTGTTGAAGCAGAAGAGGTTGCCATCTGCTTTTTTTAGGGTTTTCTACTGCTGCCCATCACCATAATACCTGAACACTTTCCATATGAAATCAATAGCAACAATCAAAGTCCCTACTGGACTTCACAGAGCTTCTGACATTTTTCCCTTTTTCAAGATTGGGGGAGGGTTTGGAGTTTTGATTTTTTGGAGGGAGTTGTGTCAGGGTTTCTGAGTCCACAGTTATAAAATTACAATATAATTACTCTGCTACCTTTGGGCCAGATGCAAGATTGTTTTGGATTGGACCCTTGAAGCACTGCCGCAAAAGAGGTGTCAGTTACGTAGCCATGGCAGAATGCAAAATGCTTTTGATTGGGTTATTTATTTCTTCTCACTGAATGTAACACTTTGCCAGATAAACTAAAGCATGCTGGGAGTTGCCAATTTGACACAGTTGTGTATATACAGGATTATAACGCCACGTGTCACCACGCCTGGAATTCAGGCCAGCATTTAATGACTCCCTTTAAATTGTAAGGCTGTGTGTAAAAATGGTTGGAAATACTGAACTCCCCCTCGGCATCACTAGTAATGGTTCCTCCAACCCCACCATACATCGGGATTGGAGCACAGGAGTGGACAGCATGAGAAAATTGGAATTGCTGCTGCTGTGTGATATAGCTGCTCCATGAGGAGTTTTTTCATCTCAGAGTCATAGATCCCAAGATCAGAAGGGACCACTGTGACCATCTTGTTTGACCTCCCAGACAATGTTCCCTCTAACTTCTATCCATGTGCAGAATAAGTTTTATGTGCTCAGAGAGTGGTGCACATCCACACATACAATAGAAACACATGCTGCCAGCAGTGAAAGGCTGGAAGTGCTCTTCCAATCAGCTGGGAGGTATTTGAGTCTCTCCTGGGCAGCTACACAAGCACTCAGCTTACAGGAACACTACTGTCAGTCCAACACCATTCACTGGTGTCACTCACTCTGCATGTTATGTTTTTTGAAAAGCACTAAGCAGCCCACCTTTGCTGTGGGTCTCCTATGAACATTTCCTTTCCTGCAATCTTAATCCAAACCACAATTTACCTGAATGCAAGGGGACGGGCGGCCATGCTGTTCTTCCATGTATAGACTCTGTAACATCCACTCCAAGAAGGGAGAATAGGAAGGATTTTGGGATGACAGGACAAAGATCACCAGGATCTGATCAGACTTTCTGGGGGCTGAGATAAACTTGTCAAACTCCAAGTCGGTAACAAATGGAATTTTCACGACACATTTGCAGCCCAAACCAGAATCCTGTTTGGACAGCAGCCTCCGGAGCACAATTGGGCAGTCAGCAGTAGAGGATGCCCAGGTCCTGGGAGGGTGGGCATCCGCAGCTGAAACAGTTTTAACTCTGCAAGGTGAATGAAGTTTAGTTTAGAGACAAACGTATCAAAAGTACATAATATACAGTAGACAGTTATGCAATTTACTATAACCCAAGAAAGTAATAAATATCAGCCAATCTATTACCATGATTTAAGGCAAAAGTCTCTAGTATGTCTAAGACATGGAAATCTGACTTTTTAAAAAGTCAAGATTGGGCTTATATGTAAAACAGAGATAGTCTTTAAAAAAACAACAAAACCAACTTTCAATTGAAACTTTCACATTTTGCAGAAGATTTCAACTTCCATCTAGACCCTGATTTTGCAACTTAAAAAGCATCATATTCTTTACCATCAGAGGAGTATGTCCCTTTAAGAGGGAGAAGGTTCACTACTTTTTTCCCACTCACAGTTGATTTCACTCAGGAATGTGTGACAGAGGGGAAAAATCCTCCAACAGGTGCAGAGAAACCCTCAGAAACTAATACTAGGGCATCAGGTCAGATTGAGCTGGTTCACTAAGGTTTGATCCTATGCTCTTTGAAGTCAACAGAAAAGCTCCCCTTGACTCTACTGATAAAGGATCAGGGCCTATAACAGCATTCTTTTGATGGCCCTTCATCAGGTCTTGCAGAACAGAAATATTTATTTTACAGGAATATTCAATCTCTTGTGCTTATGGTGGTGAAAATATCCTGACAAACAAACTGTGCAACTGCTACTAAATGTTCTCTGTGCAATGTGATCGTATAACTCTCAGTAGTTCTGTGTGTGGAGGTTTATTGTGACTTGAGGGATTTCACCTTCCCAGTGAGGAAGAAATGCATGATGTATCTAGGATCTCATGAAGAAACCGCAGTAGGAATAGCAGAGCAGATTGAAAAAGAAGGCAAGATATTGCCATTGCATTATGTCAGGGGTGGGGTACCTCAGGTCTGGGGGCCACATGTGGTCCCCTGCTTGCCTGGATGCGGCCCCTGAGGCTCAGGGCCCACCCCAGCATTGGGGAGCCCCTGCTGGAGCTCCAGCCCCCCCTGTTGCCCCACTGTGGGCTGAGGCACACAAAATCTACTAACCTGGCCCCCCAGGCTCTGGTGTGCTAGGGGGAATGTGGGGAATGTCTTTCTCCTCAGTTGGGGGCTACATCAGTGAGGGGTGTTTTGTTTGTTTTGTTTTGTGCTTGTCGCTTGTGTATGGCCCCTATCTGATTTTTTTCTGTGGGTCAGCAGCCTCCAACCCAAAAAAGGTTCCCCTCCCCCCGCATTATGTAAAGGCACAGCTCCTAAGCTAGCGTGTGTCAGCAGAGTTCCCATTGAACCTATTAGAGCTATGTTGATTAATGCTAATTAAGGAGTTGGTTCAAAGAATCCAGTTTAATCCTTCCAGCTGCCTGTTTACCTCATTTGCCACACAACCATTTCCTGTGACCCCAACATTTGTAGATAAATCTATGTATTAAGTATCTTCACATAATTTCATATGACTTTACATTGTGCTATTTTGTATTTCATATGACTTGGCATTGTGCCTCTCCATATAACCTTGTAGTAGACCCCTATTTGATATGGGAACTTTGTATTAGAACCCTATATAGAAAACTTGTAGAAAACTGGGAATATAGTTAAAGTGGAAGAAGAATGTCTTTTTTCTAGGAGTAGAATAAGATCTCCCCCCTACTCTGTAATCAATTGCCCTGTTGAATGAATGAGGTGTGAATGAGTAAGACTTGGAAGCCAAGCACCTCCAGACAGTTACAACAGTTGAAGAAGGGGTGGAAGCCAGACCCAAGGACAATAAAACTTGTCAAGTGGGCTCAATAAAGAAGAGCAGACATATTGAGGGCCTTGGGGATTAGAAGCAAGCACCTTCTTTGGAAAACACCCTCTCTGAACAGCATCGGGACAACACCCAGAGAGAAGCAGCACAACGAACCAATGAACACAGACCCAGATTTTGAATCTGAGATAGATTTGCATGAGAGGGAAGCTGCTATAAAAGTGAGATGTCTTGCAGAGGACCCCAGGTCTCGTCATGTCACATCGGAGCATCGATCCGGATCAGCAGAAGCCTGGCTCCACCCTTCCCTCATCTAACTCACCTGACCAGTGAAGTGAAGAGGAGCAACTAGTTGGTAACAACAAGATGGAGTGTGCTTGTGTGCGTGTTAGTGCATGAGTGATATATATATCATATGCAAATAAGTCTTGATTGAGCTATGTATGTTCAATAATGTGGCATGTTGCCTTATCCCTCTGAAAAAGATCCTGGGTGCTTCTTTTAAGCACAACAGATTTCAAGGATGCAGTGTCCTCTTCCCCAGCAGGGAGAGTGCACACATCTCCAACAAACCTGGGTGCTGGCTTTGGTTGAGTCACTGTATCCAAGTAACTGGAAGGTCTCCTTTGGTCCACAAGTCGGCTAGAAGGCTTAGAAGGAACCCTTCTATCAGCAGGCCTTCTAGGAGGTTTTTGAGGCCTTTTTGTTTCTGATGCTATTGGAAAACATTCTTCTTTCGCTCTTTTAGCCCAGGTCTGAGATGGTGGTGGTTTCATTTTAAATTTGACATGCTTTGCTTCTGCTAGGACTGGATATTCTATAGGAATTATACCTGCAAATAATAAATAATAATAATTGATAATAAACCCTAACACTTAAGGATGTGGTTAGGTTTACAAAAATGAGGTTTACAGGATCTTTCAAAAAAGTGCCCCATTTTGGAAAGAACCACGTCTAGACTGCAGTTTCAATTTCAAAAGAGCGCTTTTTCGAAAGAGCGCCATTACATGATTATGCAAATGAAGCATGGGATATTTAAATCCCTGTTTCATTTGCATTTTTGAAGTGCTTCATTTACATCCCTCTGCCAACAGAGGGATGTAGTATAGACGTAGCCCCCAAAGCTAAATGGGACACTGAGTAACTTGTGACTTGTGTATCTTCCCAAGTGTATGTAGGTATTTTGGAGTTACTCAGAAAATGTAAATAAAACCATCCAAGTTAGAGGTGGACTTTTAGATGTTCTAGTTCACCCCCTTGAGTTCTGTTGTTCAATAAATCTATTAATATTTCAATATTAAATTATTTCAAATATTTTAATAAAAGTAACTTTAGTTCTAGTGCTGGGTGAAATATTTTGGATGAAAAAAAATCATTCAGTGAAAAATTCAGTGTCAGTTAAATGTATTCATGAATTCAGGTCAAATTTAGATAATAGTTTTGCTTCCAAAAAAAAGAAAAGATGCTCAAAAAGTCACAACGTTTTGATACATTACATTCTGAAAATGTAACTTTTAGATTTGAAACATTTTGTTTAGAAATGTAGCAAATTTAAAAAAGGATAAAAAAAGACCCAAAACAAAGCAAAAAATTGGGGGAAAATCATTTGAGATCAAACAAAACATTTCATTTGAACCAAACCAAGATTTTTTTTAAGTTTTTGTATTTCAGAGGGAAAAACCCAAAACATTTCTATTTTGGGGCAATCTAAGATAGGACTTTTTTCTGATTTTTTTTTTTTGTTCAGCCACTGAAACAGAAATTAATTATTTGCTCAGCTCTATTCAGTACCCACATTGTTTTTTCTCTTCAACTCATTCCTTTGAGTCTGCCTCTTCCAGAAAGCCTTTCTGCAATTCTCTCTCCCAGCTGCTCCAGTACTTTGACTTTGCATCATCATCTTTGCATTAATATGTGTTGCGACTAAAGTGTAAATCCCTTGGGGAGACACCAGACCTTATTTTACATATCTACAAGACTGATCACTTTGTTGGCACTCAGCAAAAAATACTTATACCTGATGCTATCAAAATGGCATTTATAAATTGTTTCACTGTTTTCTGAAATCGCTTCTTAATCTCTTCTAAGGCTCTCTTCAGTTGTTGCTCCTTCTCCTCACTGTCATTTGCTTTTGCAAATTCCTTTAAAGAGTGAATGGAGAAATCCAGATTAGAATCATGTTTCCATTCCTGCAAACTTTGAATGACACCATGACTAAGGGGAGGCTGGTACAGCCCTGTTAGAGACCATTTGAGTTAATAACAGTCTTGCTTCCTAGTCATGATCCAAGATCCTGTGTTCAAGTCTCACAGGAACAGTGGATTTTTCATCTACATAATTGGTAGCCCATTCTAGGGTGAGGGTGTCTGGGTGATGCTTTCACTTTCCGTCATCTTCTCTTTTAATCCCTGTCCTCTGCTATAATGCTTGCTTATTAGGTAACAGGAATATAATATTGGGGATAAATCACCTAATCACATTCCTCCAGTGTTATTCATTTTTCCCTTCTAATCCAATGGAAATATGACCTCAAAAATAACTTAGCCAAATAATCAACCTCCCTCTTCTTCAATGCCTTTGCATCTTGCAACCCTCTGGATGGAAATGCCTTAAAAATTTTCACAGCTCTTCAGAATTAAATACTGCATTTTTTATTTAAATTTTATTTTGGGGCCATGAACAGCCAGAGAAAAACAGTTTAAATGACCACTCTCCTGCAGGTTGGTTGAGAATGGTAGAAGGACCTTTCTGCATACAAGTGCAGCCAGATAACTGATTACCATTAAACAAGTCATTCTGAAACTATGGTCCCAGAACCAAAAATAGTCCACAGAAGAAAGTGTTCTATGATGAAAATGCTGGAAGAGGAGAAGGAGAAGTAGGTCTATGGGAGGGGAGGTCTCTCTCTTTTGAAGTAAGCCAGAAGATTATATATACAGGCAGTCCCCGGGTTACGTACAAGATAGGGACTGTAGGTTTGTTCTTAAGTTGAATTTGTATGTAAGTCGGAACTGGTACATATTGTAGGGGAAACTCTAGACAAACATTTCTCCAGAGCTCAGTTTTATTCTCCCACACCTCACTTCCCTCAGTCCTTTATTCTCAAGCTGAGGTGTCTGCTGAGAAAAGCTGCTCCGTGTCTCCCTGGTCTGCTGGGGGGAAGCAGCTAGTGCGGGGTTGCCTCACCCCGTTTGTAAGTAGGGATCCGATGTAAGTCAGATCCATGTAACCCGGGGACTGCCTGTATATAAAAAAGAACCCCAGCCATAAATGACACCCCTGCAAGTCAAAGTTGAGGGAAATTGTATTGTTATAGATGCCATCTTTCGGATGAGACTGTCAAATCAGAGTTTTTCTGAATGCCCTGGACGAAGTGAAACATCTCCCAGTACTGATATTTGAAAAATAGAAGAGGGTAACTCTGGTATTGCAGCAAAAATTCCGTGTCTACTGAAACAGATTCTCATGTCTAGTGCTACGTTTATATGGAGCTTTTTATCTTATGGCACTCCAAAGCCCTTTAGGACCTAAATATACAACAAATGCAGTGAAATTTGCTATTAAATAAGTTAGTCTTCTAACAACATTCAGTGATATCGCATACCAGGCTAGGATAGAAAGCACAGAAGAATAACATCTCTAATTAAAACTGCAGGGGGGAGTTTAGGAAGACAAAGTTGAATACGGTTGAGTGCAAGGGCACCATTTCGGTGGGGCAGAGGGCTGCAGCCTCACGTACCTGGATGCTGCTTACTCTTCTTCCCATTTTCTTAGCGGGGAGCCAGGGGAAAGTACACAGCTTGTATGCATTCCTTTCACTCTCAGCTGGGAAGGGGAGGGGGCAGAGCAACAAGTGACTTTCCCCTCGCTCTCTGATAGAGGAAAAAGAAGAAGAGCAAGCAGTATGCATGGCTGTAGGTGTCTCCCCTCCCCCCCAAAAAATGATGCCCTTGGCTGAGTGACCTGGGCTAATAAACCCGTTGATTTTACTTTTATCTGAAAGATGATGTCCTAAACCTCCAAAAGAGAGACATGCAGAAATTGGAAACTAGCTCAAATTACAAAGGATGACTATAACAAGGATAACAAGGAAACATTTCACAAATACATGAAAAGCAAGAGGAAGAGCAAAGACAGGCACTGGAAAAGTTCAGAACAGGGCAACAAAAATGATTAGGGGTTTGGAATGGCTGCCCTATGAGGAAGGATTTAGACTTGGACTCTATCATATCCCTCAATCTTCTCTTTTCTAAAATGAAGAGGGCTATAAAATCATGACTGGCTTGTGCTTGCTCACATGCTCAGGGTTGAATGGTTGTCATGTGTGTGTTTGGAAAGGGATTTCTCCACAGCTCAGATTGGCAGTGACATGGGGGTTCACCTTCCCCTGCAGTGTGTGGATGCTGGTCACATGTCAGGATCCTTTGGGTACATCTCATTTAATCAATGTGCTGGGGCCTGAGGTATTGGTGCACCTGTCCCTCCCATTCTCTGCCCGTGACACGTAATAGTCTAATTTTCTCAGGGCTATAACATTTTGGTCTAATTTAAGTTGTTGGGTTTAGTGTGCAGGTGGGTGGTATGTTGGTGGCTTATGATAGACAGAAGGTCAGAATAGATGACTTGTGGTCTCTTCTGGCCTTAAATTCTATGACCTACAGCATAACAGCTCCATATTAATTCAGCACTGACCTATGAAAAATGTTTCCTTCTGAATGCAAACTCTCCTTGACAATAGCGAGAATGTATTTTTATATATTTAATAGATATTAATATGTCAGTGAAACTTGCATTTTCAAACATGGAGAGCAACACATTTTGAAATCTACCCAGAATGTCTAGCATCTACTTATATGTGATTTACATTGGCCAGATCTTGCACCTAGCACCACTACAAAATGCTTCCAAGATTTTACCCCCTCTTAATTCAGTCAGAGAATTTATTTTTTCGTCAAATAAACATTCCCTGAAAGAGAAATGCAAAAAGTAAAGATTTTAAAAGTAAATTGGATTTCAAACATTCTTTTAGCTTAAATTGTCTAAGATGTTAGAGGCAAGTATTTATTTGCCACATGCTGTTTGGTTTTGAAGTTGACAGATTTCCTCTCTTTATGACAAATAAACCTTTTTATTTTATTTGTCTTCTAAAAGTAAAAACAGTAAAAACAAAAATGCCAGCTGGGACGATGATGAATTCTAGATATAAAGGCTGGCCCAATTAACACCAAATGGTGGAGAAATATGTCATTCAGGCAGCCTACAAAGGCAGCTTTTGGGCTAATAAAGCATTTTAATTGAAAGACTGTCTTTCTATAAAAGTGCATCCACAATATAAATATTTAGGGAAGAACCTTGGAATTATTCTTGAAAGAGAGGGTTGTCTTTAAGTTAGGTTTCAATGTAGTTCCTAGGGGCTACTTTTCAAATGTCAATGGGAACCTTGGGAAGCAATTTGAAAACAGCTAGTCTTAAAACAAGGGGCTGTATTGTTTATCTATTTTCCTTAAATGTAATGTTGGCTTTTGCTGATAAGTCAAAACCTGGGGTAAAAGCATCTGCAAACCAAACAGCTCTGTGCTTAATACCTGGGGCTCAGGGAGCAATTCATTCCAGCACAGAGGCAGCCACTTATGTACCATAAATGCTCCACTGAGACGGACCTTAACACAGGATTTCAAGTACACAAGCCCCCTTGTCATGGGGTAAATGTCACCACTATAAGTTGAACCTCTCTAGTCCAGCATTCTCTGATGCAGCAACATCTGTGGCCCAGCATGATTTTAGTTAGCTGGATGTCCACTTATCATGGGTGTGGCCAGGTTTCCTGTGCAAGAAAAAGTACTGTTGATCGTCAGAAGACAGGGCTTTTTTCACAAGAGTTATACCTCTTTCATATTCCACATAATAAAAATGTTTAATGCTGCATTTCTCAAACTGTAGGTCCCGACCCCCCCAGGGGGTCGTAAGCAACTTAAAGGGGCATCACAAGCTACTTAGAGGGGGGTTGCATCAACTTAGAGGGGGGTCGCGGTATCACAAAGTTTGAGAACCTCTGGGTTAATGGATTTGAAACTGGTTAGCAGTTAGTAGGGCACCCATCAGTCATCCTACCCGATGCAATTCATACATGACTGCTGCTTACCCGTTTGTCAGCTTTGGGAGGGTGTGTACATGGAGCTCTTGACAAAGACATATTGATGGTCTCATTCAAACAGGAAAAAGAAAGCGTAATGGAATTTTCACCAAGTACCTTCAGTTTTAGCTCTTCATTTATCTGAGGAAGATAATGGACAGGGTAAATTCTGACTTCGTTTTTACTGGCACTGTTTTCCTAACACATGCTATTCTGGGAGATTTCTACCCATCCCTTCATCTGGCAGCTTCCCAGGCCTGTGAAAGACCCCTAACACATTTTGCCAGGGTTTATGTCTCCTTGGAGCAAAACTGAGGGTGCATCTAGACTACATTTCTCTTTCAAAAGAGGAATGTAAATGAAAGAAATCAAAAATGCAAATGAAATGCGAGATTTACAAATCTCACACTTCATTTGCATAATCACGTCCGATCACTTTTTCGAAAGGTTTTTTTTAAACAATCCCTTTGAAAGAACCCTTATTGAAGAAAAATGAAGTTTACAGGGTTCTTTCAAAAAAGGGTTTGTTTTTTTGAAAGAACTGCATCTAGACTGCCTTTTTTCTCGAAAAAACCTATTTCGAAAAAGCGATTGAATGTGATTATGCAAATGAAGTGCAAGATTTGTAAATCTGCGCTTCATTTGCATTTTCAATTTCCTTCATGTACATTCCTCTTTCAAAAGAGGAATGTAGTCTAGATGTACCCTGGGTTCTTTTGTTAATGAAAGGCAGGTGTGTAAATTCAAATAATTTGATGGAAAAATCTCATTTCAGTCTAAACTGAGACTGAGGGGGAAAGGAGGAGGTCCTGTAAAACAAAAGGAAGTATGAGCCACTCCTCAAAGTTAGATTTGTCACAGCACCACAGAGTGGTGATTTCCAACATGTACGGTTGCTTCATTCAGACCAGCAGTTGAAGGTGCTCAAAACAACATTTCATAGGATTTGCTCTTCAGTCTGCGGTGTTCCAGGACATCCTCAAAGAGAAACAAATTAGCCGCATGGGATCATTAACTCTTGGCGGTTTACAACTCTTCAGTCCAGTCAATCTGTGTTAACTGAGTTAACGTGAAACAATTCAGCTGAGATTTTTCGAGCCATCTAGCTGATTTGGATGCCAAGTTTCCTTTAACAGTAATCAGCATTAGGCACCCCTATCAGGCCTTGAAAATTTCAGCCTTCAGTTATGAAGTTCTCCCCAGACTGGTGGCACCAAGGGGGCTGACAGACTTGCCAGTGTTGTGTTGGAATTGAAAGTTTTATTCTTTTTATATTGGTATTTTAGATTTAGTAATGTAGTAATGTAAGGTAACATATATATAATTATATTTAAGATTGTAGTAAGTCAAATCCTTTAGTAAAGTATATATCTCCTATATTTCCTTGTTCTAAAGTTTAGGCCTAAGTAAAGAGACAGAGTTTTGGGTATTGTGGCTGGATTAATGAGATTAGAGTAATTCTTCTAATGTTGAAGGCTGAGGCCTTAATTGCTTGATTTACAATGCCTCTCTTTGCTGTGCCAATGCAGATGTTGATGTTGTGCAGCATAACCTTGAGAGCCCTTGTAACATTGCTTATGTATGTGAAAAGGACGGTATGAATGTGTCGAGATAACTGTGCAAAAAGTTATTGCTCAGGACCAGATGGCCAAAAAGGAGGTTGAGCATGGGCGAAAACTAGAAGGCCTGGCATAAAAAATGCGTACCCCTACTCACAAGATGATTGGATATTGGCAGCAAAGCGAGCACCCGGGAAAGACGATTGATTACAAAATGAGCCTTGGAAAATGTTTTGGGAACACTGACATCAAAAAGATAACGTTCCGGTCACAGAGTGACACAGCGGAATACATTGATTTCAACAGAGAAAAGAATTATAAAAGCAGGGTGCTTGGCTATGGAACTTTGGGTTTGTCTTGCCAGCCACCAATTCCAGAGGAGCATCGGATCGATCGACCGACAAAGGTCCTGCTCCCCCCTATGTTCAATCTAGCTGGCCACTAGATTGATACAGAATCTGGACTGGTAACTATGACATCGTCTGGCAGGACTGTGTATGCATGATGTTTTGTGTGTGTGTGTGATTGAAAAGCATATGCAACTGTTGTATTCTCAATAAATGCCGTGTACTGCCTTTTCCCCTATAAAAGATCTCGTGTGCTTCGTTTAAGCATAACACCACGCCCCTGGGCAAAGGAGGGGCCGGCATGGCTCTGTGCTCCCAGAAGCACCACCCAGAACACGCTGCAACCCTCTCCCCTCTAGCCAGCCATCAGAGCTGCCCACAGTGCGCTGCACAGGGCTCTGATGGTGATTTCAAGGGCCTGGGGCTTCAGCTGCAGCCGTTCCAGTGATAGTAACAGCAGTCAGGAGTCCCAGGCCCTTTTGAATTACCAGGCCCCAGGGCAACTTCTCCCTTTGCCCCCTCCCTCAGCAGGCCTGGTTGGTACAGGGCTTCTTTTTGAACTAATAATGCTGCAGCCCTGTCTTTTTCAAGAAGCTACAGCTGGAAACTGAGATGACATGTTGCATCTTTCCAAGACCATATGAGTTCAAATTTGATAAATTAGAAATAATCTGCAGATTAAGACTGGTGCAAAAGTGGAATCAAAGCAGGCACAACAAAACTACCCACACCGCATCGAACAGAAGAACCCAGGCAGTAAGGTGTTGCTGGTGCAAAACCACAGCTATTCTGTAGTCTAGGGATGTTCATAATTATTGACTCTAATTATTCTGTTTTGAATATTAGCACTTAGCAATAACTCATTTTTGTACCTGAAATTCTAAAGACTGTAAAATTTGGGTCTTTGAAGACCAACTCCACTTATGTGTTAAATATCCATCTCTGTCCCAAACTGCTCCACCTTCAAGATCCATCATTAATGCAAGTGAACATCTGGGCAGGGCAGAAGAGAAAATACTAGTTAGACTTTGTGTTGAAAATAAAATAAAATAATCAATAGCAAACAGTGACACTGGAACAATTTTTAGTGTGAGGGTGCTGAGTTATGCCCCCTCCTTAGACTGTTTCTCACCCTATGATGGTTGCCAGCTCTTCTGGATCAGACCAACTGGACACCATTCGTAGCAATGGTGTCCAGTCCATACATTCCAGGACAGTTGGCAATCCTAGTCCCTCACTCGCTCCAGGCTGGTGCCACAGCTGGGGGCAACTACTGAGCCCTAAGCCAGTGTTGGGAGGGACTCTGGGTGGCAGCTGAATCTTCAGGGCCAATGGCCTGGACCCCGGGGCTAGCAGGTGATGGAACTCTTGGCGGTGGATCTGGACATCAATAGGATCCTGGAGCCTGTTAGGCTGGCAGGTAGTTGCAAAGCCAGTGGGGCTGGGAGGATCCTGGAGGCCCAGTGGGATCCCACAGGAGCTGCTCAGAGGTCAGGACCTGGGGCTAGCAAGGTTGGCAGCAGAGCTGGCCCCTGGGAGTGGGGAAGTTGGGTGCAAATCCAGAGGGTGCTGCAGCAATGCCCTGTACCTCTAATTCCCACATCTATGATTATAAATATCTAGCACCAAAGAAAGAACTCGCAGCAAAGGTCTTTATGCTCTCTCAGAGAAACACACAATCCTTGACTTTCCTTCTTAACAGCTTTGCTCTGTTCTGCTCCCTTCCCCTTTCATACACATTGCTCAGCTCTCTGGTGACCTTCTCCACCTGAGTTATGGCATGCACTGTAACCATCAGTCACCCACTGGGATTTGACTCTTCCATGCACCATTAATAAGCACCAATACAATTCTGTGCAATGTTTAAGGGTCAGGAGACTTAATTATCTATCTTACAGGCAGACTGATGGGGATGATAATCATAAACACTAAGTAATAGGTAAGGTTAAGAATGTGTCACAGGCATTTTCAGTAAAAGGCAGGGCAGGTTGCGAGCAATAAACAAAATTGCAAGGAAGGCCATGACTTGTCCTTGACTTCTACTAAAAATACACTGTGGGGACAAACAGAGCACTGCCAGGGTGTGCAGCTGCTCCAGGTCCCTCACTGCTCCTGCAGGAGGGGCTGATCGCTGCTGCTTCAGTCCCACATGGGATGACCCAACCCCAGCCGCTGGTCCCCAGGCTGGGAACTCCTGCTCTGGTAGTCCCAGGACTGACTGCTTTCACTGTTCTGGCAACAGCTATTCAATGGCCCTGGTCCTGACCTCCAGCCAGCTGTTTGGCAGCCCAGCCCCAGGATTCAATGGGAGTGACTGAGCAGCTCTGGAAAATGGGCCTCATTGTTCCTCTTCCACATCTCCCAGCATCCATATTAGCTACACTACAGAAGGTTAAAATTCACTCACCTGGCTTTGAAGGAGTAACACACACATGCCTGGTGGTCCACTATAAAAGAGGCAAGCAGAGCTAGGCTTGGAGCATTATTAAAGAGAAGGGTGATTGTTTTTCCCATGCAGCACATGGGGAACTGGCAAGCAGCAATACTTCCTGTTGGATAACTTATACATACTGTCAAGTACTGTCAACGCTTACATATTAGAGACCTTCATGAGATGCTCTGTCCAACTGCATCTTGCAACATTATAAGTAGCACTAGCTCCAGCTCTTGCATTTGGATCTTGCCGTGCCCAAGTCATGTTTGGCATCCCAAGGCAGCTTCCCCAGCATCAGACTAGCCTCCTGTCCTGAAGCTGTGCTAACTACTTTCTGAATGGTATCCTTCCTGCCTTATCCATCCACTGACTTTGATCTTTATCTACTCAGGTTTAGCACCCTTTCTCCTGATACTTTATGCACAGAGGTAGGGAGGTGGGTGACAGAACATCTTTCTTCTCCCCGCCCCCCCTCCCTTCCTTCTCCTATTTATTTCGAGTTTCTTTATCCTCTAATCATAACTCCGGTCATCTGAAGAAGTTGGCTGTGCCCACGAAAGCTCATGATACCATCTACATGTTTTGTTAGTCTATAAAGTGCTACCAGACCATTTGCTTGCTGTATTTTTTTCTGTAACAGACTAACTTGGCTACCCCCTGAAGCTCCTACAGTATCTAACAGTTATTGTACCTATTTACTTAGAATAGACTCTCAGTGAATACCTCTGTTCTACATCTCTGGAACAAGCTCCATCTACATGTCCACCTGAACCAGAGTTTGACAATATTCAGGGCACAGTATGAGAGCTATGATTTTTGGTTATACATTTGATCAAACTATTGTACAGGCAGTCCCCGAGTTACGCGGACGGGGCTTTCTCGCCCCGGAGCTCACATGCAGCGGGACCGCACAGAGCGCAGCGGTCCCGCCACCTCGACCTCCAGGGCGAGAAAAGCTGCTCCGGGTGCCCCTGGTCTGCTGGGGACCGTCTCCAGCAGACCAGGGACACCGGGAGCAAAGCCGCAGCGGCGGCGGAGTCCTGCGCCTCTGAGGCTTTGCCCCAGCAGACCAGGCTTTTGTTGTGGACCCTGGGGTAGAGCAGCTGGGGTGCTGCCGGGTTGGTCCTGCAGGGACCTACCTGGCAGCCCAGCTGTTCTGTCCCAGGCTCGAGATTCAGCCGCTGTTGAAACTGATCAGTGGCTGATTCCAGGAAGCTGGGGGTAGAGCAATTCTGCCTCCAGCTTCCTGTAGTCAGCCCCTGGTCAGTTTCAGCAGTAGCGGCTGAATCTGGAGCCAGTTCCGACTTACATACAAATACAACTTAAGAACAAACCTACAGTCCCTATCTTGTACATAACCCAGGGACTGCCTGTAATATAAAGGAATAAGGGAATGTTTCTTAGTTACAAAAGACATTTTAACAAACTCCCTGCTAACTGACAGCTTTATGGATGAACAGCACCAATATACATTATTAATGTAAATAATAATTGTGGTTCCCATAGTTAGGAAACTATAGTGCCCTTTCTCGTTTCTGTTTATGTGTAGAAATAGGAGCCATTGTGTTCTTACAGTTGAGGCAGATGAGAGTTTGATGAAAAACTTTGGTCAAAAGTATTTTTCAACAGAAAATTTGCCCAAATAATAATTTTTGTGGAAAGTGTCTGCTTTCCTCAAAAACTGTTGATTTTTTCCTCAGAGAACAAAATACTTGAAAATTTTTAGTCAAAAACTCTATATTTCTGGATGTTCTACAGTGTATTTGCTAAAGAATTGAGGAGTTTTAATTTTTGAAAAGAGTCAACATTTTGAAATGACAATTTTAACAAGAATGATTTTTTAAATATTAATGAAAATTGTGTATGTTTAAAAAATCATTTTCCAACCAATTCTGCTGCAGACTGTCACAAAGGCTACGTCTACACTGGCCCCTTTTCCGGAAGGGGCATGTAAATTTCACTAGTCGTCGTAGGGAAATCCGCGGGGGATTTAAATATCCCCCGCGGCATTTAAATAAAAATGTCCGCCGCATTTTTCCGGCTTTTAAAAAAGCCGGAAAAGAGCGTCTACACTGGCCCCGATCCTCCGGAAAAAGCGCCCTTTTCCGGAGGCTCTTATTCCTACTTTGAAGTAGGAATAAGAGCCTCCGAAAAAGGGTGCTTTTTCCGGAGGATCGGGGCCAGTGTAGACGCTCTTTTCCGGCTTTTTTAAAAGCCGGAAAAATGCGGCGGACATTTTTATTTAAATGCCGCGGGGGATATTTAAATCCCCCGCGGATTTCCCTACTACGATAGGTGAAATTAACATGCCCCTTCCGGAAAAGGGGCCAGTGTAGACGAGCCCCTGGCGTATGGAGGTTCAATTGTACTGACACGCACGCTTAGATTGTAAGCTCTTTTGGGCAGAGACCATCTTTTTGTTCTGTGTTTGTACACATATAGTACAGTGGGCTCCTATGCCATGCCCTGGGCTCCTAGGCACTTCTATAGTACGTATAACAAAAACTGAAAGGCCTTTGAGCTTCCTGATCATAGTTAGGACCAGTAGCAAAAGGGACAAAATCTAACTTAATCCAGTCCATCTGTCTAAGTTAGATGTTTATATCACCCCAGTCACCACGGCATGTGAGCTCCAACAGTGGTTGCACTTTCTACTGGTTTGAAAGGCTGCCAGTTATAACAGGAAATCTCTCTCTGACCAGTACATCTTTCAAATGAATAGAATCATTTAAAGTGGGCCCCCCGATAAATGTCCAAAAGGAACATTTCTTCTGGTCTTTCCAGCCCAGGAGAATGTCCTAGAAATCATCTGTTCCCATGAGATTCACAACATAGTTTGGCAGGACAATGATATCTGGAGGCCTTAGGAGAGGTTTGGCTGAGAATTGGAGTTTCTTAGTGCTTGGTAAAGCAAACCTTTGAGTTTTCTGACATTCACCCATCCCTAAGTCTTAGCAATGGTTCTTAAGGGCCAGATGTGTGATAGGGGATGGATCACTTGATGGTTACCTGGTCTGTTCATTCCCTTTGAAGTACCAAGCATTGCCCACTGTCAGACCTTTAGTCTGACCCAGTGTGGCCATTCTTATGTTCAGATGGCAAAAGCAAATGACCTTTTCCAATTCCCACTCACTTCAATCAGCGTGAGATTAGATCCTAAATGAGGGACTTCATCCAGCAGTCAGGAGAGATCAAAAGCAAATGCTATTCAACGCATTTATAGATGAAGTTTCCACTTTCGTTAGAATCCACCGGATGGCTCACTGATCTCTTGGATCAAATGCAGTAGGTGGTACTGGAAGTGGGGAATAATTTAATTTCAAATGAGGGAATAGGAAAGATTAATTTGTCATTTAAGTGTACACAGGAATCAGATCAAAGCAATCCCCGGGAATGCACTGAGCCCCATAGCACCTGGAGAACTCATCTTCTCTCCGGACTGTGTATATTACCTGGGTTGTTCTGTAGTACAAAGTTACATTATCATCAGGAATGTGTGTGCGTGTATCTGAATAAATCTAATCACTTTCCAGTCTGAATGTTCTCTTAGACCCATGAAAAAAGCACAGTTCTCCTTTCACTTCAAGGCAGGTTGGAAGGTAGTTGTCCTTAGCTTCTATTAATCTTTCCACTATATATTCTCCCCTCCTACATCCTTACCAAAAAATATCTAAACTACACATGACCACTGCTTTCCTCTAGGATATACAAAGGATTGATTTCTCCATGCGTATTCAGTAACTATCTACAATATATTATGTTCCACTTTGGGTAGAGAACTAACCCAAAAATCTGGCTCCCTCAGCAACTCTTTCTTTGTACTGAGTACTAATCATGTTGATACTTCCCTGAGGAAAGGCCACAGTACTCATGTTGCTACGATGTGATTGGGGAGGTTAGTATTGGAAGAGCCTCTGTTAACCTAGAGCATTTCCCTGTAAATCCTTCTCCCACCCTTCTCCCTTGGTTTCAACAGAAGGATACAAAATAAACGTTGTGCCATCAGGAAAGGCAAAATAGAGCTTTGGTGGTTTAAGCTTGTGTTCTGTTGGCTGTGGAACCATCTGCCCACCTTTCTTAGGAGAGACGGACAGTGACCCGAGCACAGAGGCATAGTTTCGCACTGTGAGGGGCCTTGTGTGACCTTTTGCTTTCATTGCAGCCTTCTCTTCCTCTCTAAAGTGAATAGGAATAAAAGAGTTGTCTGGTTCTGAAATATTCCGAATTCATGAGGCCAGGGCCCAGCTCCTCTGCTGGCATAAACAGATGTGGCTCTATTGATTGCATTCATTTATACCAGCTGGAGGGGCTGGCCTTCTGCCTTTAATTTAAGGTTACTATCATCAGGGGCAGCCCGTCCATATCAGCAAACTAGGCGGTCGCCTAGGACGCCACGTTAAATGGGGCGCCAAACGGTGGTGCAATATCATTGAGGGGTTTGGAGGTGGGGGCGCCAATTGCATAATTCGCCTAGGGCGCCAGTTGCTGGCAGCTAGTCTAGGGCCGCCCCTGACTATCATACAAGCCAGCCCTGCCCGCTTGTCCTTTTAGAGAATCTTACTGATTTTTCGTGCTCTCTCTCTCAGTTTTAAAGTGGTGAGTGTACTATTTCTGAAAGGTATTGGATGAAAAGAAATGCATCCAAAAAACAAGTAACACACAAGAGAAGCATAAGCTACTGCCAAGCTTCTCCACTCACTAATGTGCTTCACTCCTAACATGGGGGAGGGGGGTTATCTCTAGAGGTGAGAGGGACATTAAGTCACAAGGGCTCCTTCAGTCAGTTCTTGGCCTCTCTGTTGGGATTACCACAGAGGGCATCCTTCAGTGTCAATTTTCTGTCCTGGCCTAGCCAATGGGAACCAGAGGATAGTATGGGCACCAAATACTATCTGATGGAAACAGCAGTATAGACATAAAAAATGTATACCCCGCTAGCAATTCTCCGAACCAACCATTCCTCTTCTTTCTATAGCATTCTATTTGCTACAGTTTTGATTTCCCTTTTCACCCTCAGTGTTGTGATACTCTGTGCATCTGGAAGATAATATTCTATTCCCCTATTGAGTTTAGCCCCTTCCATTTACTAATGCTGATCATTTCCCCCTCTCCTTCACATTTCTAATGGTGTCTAAAAACAACTATTTTCTCATGGTGAAGAAAGATCAAATTGAACTTTTTCTCACAAATAGGAGTCTTCACCATACCATCTGCACTGAATTCTTCTAACTTGGGAATTACAGGTTATGTCAGCATAAATTCCTTTTGCACTTTTAATTTCAAATGCTTCCCCTCTCCTCTGACATTGTTGTGGAACCAGGTTGGATATTATATTTAATTCCATATCTATCTATAAATTTTGCTGGCACTCTAGTCTTTCAACTCAAGTCAGCGACCTGTGAGAGAGGGCCTATAGCTCCATGGTAAATACAGGTTTGCTCAGAGCATTTGTTTCTATGCCACATAAACAAACAAATCTTTTAAATTTATATTTCCTTGCAACCTGAAGTTAATCAAACTAGAGAAACCTATCAGCCAAAACCAGTTTAGAAATATGAGGCCTCATACTTCAATGTAAACCGTACACTTACTGAAAGCGATTAGGAAGAAACTCTTCCCGTGGGTAGATTATTCCATAATTGTCCATTCTGGGGTTGCCCTCCTATCAAAACTCTATTGCTGGCCACTGCTGGGGGCTACGTCTAGACTGGAGGCTTCTTTTGGAAGAAGCTTTTCCGGAAGAGATCTTCCGGAAAAACTTCTTTGAAAGAGAGCGTCTACACAGCAAAAGTGCAATGAGAAAGCAATCTGCTTTTTCGAAAGATAGTGTCCACATTTAATGGACACTATTTTGCATTTCAGCTGTGATTACTCTGGACAGAGTGGCCACCAAGGCACCTGTGCTTTTTCCTGGAAGCCCCTTCTTTCGAAAAAACACTCTCTTCCATGTCCACACACACCTTTTTCCGAAAACGCTTTTTCGGAAAAAGGCTTCTTCCTCATAGAAAGAGGTTTACTGCTGTCAGGAAAACCCCTCTGTTCTTTCGACTTTCTGTGGAAAGAACACAATAGCAGTGTGGACGTAAGTATAGTTTTTCCAGAAAAATGGCCATTTTCCCAGAAAAACTCTGCAGTGTAGACATACCTGGAAACATGCCATAGAGCAAGACTGACCATAGATCTGATCTGGCATGGATCTATGTACCTATCCCACAACTTTAGTCCTTTTCACACTCACGCCATGCCTTAGGCTTTAGTGTTGGCCATTGGAGATACTTACATAAATCGACACATTTCTCTGAGCTTCTGCCTGGCTTCTGGGCATGGGTCATGCTGATGGTCAAAATTTATCACCTCCTGTACAGGTTTGAATTTAGAGGAACCTGCAAAAGTAAATGTTGAGAAAAAGACTAATAGTAGCCAGTCTCCTAAACAGTCAGTCTCCTTGCCCTGAGAATCTGTGCAACAGAACGGGAAGCTGAGATTATATTAATCCCCTTTTCACCATGGACAAGTGATACCTATCTCAAAGCTATATTTATTTCCCCAATAAAATAAATAAATACATAAATGTAATAACAATAAAAATTAATTAGCAGTTTTTTTCTGAATAGCGATAGTCCTCTTTTCATTCTTTGCTCCATCACATCTACAAGCTATTTTAGTTAAAACCATCTGAACAATGGGAATACGTTTCATGTAAATATTCTTTCCTTTTTCATCAGAACGTTTCTGAGCAGTTGTCACTGTTGTGGAATAAATCAGAAATCAGTATATACAATACACACATGGGAACACTGGAAGGGCTTCAGGGTAGGAGCTTGGAAAGGAAAAAAAGTTGAGAACCAAAATGGAACATGGTTCTAAATTCATTTGCTTTCAAAATTGATTTCAAATTGTTTAGATGGAGCGGGAGAGAGAATCCAGGAGTGAGGATGCTAGCCGGGAACTCTGAGTGCAGGGACTGGATGTAAGGATCTCTCGAAGTTCCCTCCAGTTCTATAATTCTAGGTGGAATCAGTTCCTTGCTCTGCTACAGAGCTCCTGTATGAGGTTGAACAAGTCACATAAGTCTCCTTTTGTCCTATATCTCCGTCCGTAAAATGGAGAGAATAGCACGAACGTATATCACGGGGCCCTGAGAGGTATATCTACACGGCAGTGATATTTTGGGATACTGGAGTATTATTTTGGGATACTGGAGTATCCCAAAATAGCTATCCCACGCCTTTAGAGCAAGCCCGTTATTTTGGGCTCGCTATTCCTATGTCTCTGTAAACCTCATTCTATGAGAGAAGTTTCGGAATAGTGCTTGATTTCGAAATAAGCTATTTTGAAATAGCATTGAAATAAGATAAGCAATTTGTGTGGCTCAAATTGTGTATCTTATTTTGAGTTATAGTGCAGCGTAGACACACCCTGAGTGGATGAATTTATTTTAAAAGATTGCAAAGCACTATTAAAATACTATAGTATTGGGAGCCCTACAAGTACTTAAAATAGATAGTTCAGTCAAATCTTCACCAACGCTGCCTGGCAGCTCCCTTCTTTTGCTGTTGCATTTGTCTGTGTAGTTGGCAGTGAAGCTGATATGAAAAATGCAGATGGGGGATCTCCCACCCTCATATATGGGCCTTTCTTTTGGCTGAGTGTAAAACACTTGCTATTCAAGGTGAGGGTGAGACATTCTCTAGGAATAGCGCTTACCTGGGGCCTTTGGTGGTTTGTTTTCCTTTGATGCGAGTGAGAAGGAGAGGCAGGACACAGAGACTTGGTGTATTAGTTGGATGGTGGAGGAAATAGGAATGGTCTTGAGGTGCGACACTGGGATTAAGCAGAAACCTGGGTTTAGAAGTTAAAATCAAAACGACCAACCAAGAACTTTCAAATTAAAAAAGCTCCGGAAATAAAGACAGTTGCCTCGATTGTGTTACAATTCTTGTCAGCCTGATTCATAAACCTGGGGCTGGAGGAATACAGGAAAGATTTTCATGGAGTTAAAGCACTGGTGCTGGACTCAGGAGGTCTTGGCTCAATTCCCCACTTTTCATAGCTTTTTGTATTACCTCAGGGAAGTCATTCAGTCTCTCTTTGCCTCATCTTTAAAATGGGGCTATAATTACATGTTCTTCTCCCACACCCATTGTCTGTCTTGTCTATGTAGTCTGGGAGTTTTTCAGGGTGGGGGCTGTCTCTTACTGTCTTTGTTCACATCTTAGCAAAGTAGTGTCCCATACTTGGTTGGAACCCTTAATAAAAAATGAATTTACAACAGTGAATAGTGCTAAAGAGGTGGAAAATCTATTTATTGTGGGCAGAGGAAGGCAGTAGAACTGAGGAATCTTGCCTTCTTTTTCTAGCTGTGTCATGAATTTTCTGTCAGTTAATATCTCAGTGCCTCAGTCTCTCTGTAAAATGAATACCTTCATGGAGCATTATGAGACTTCATTAGCACCCTTTTGAAATCCTTGTAAGAAAAGGCATGCTATTTAGGTGAACTATTATGCTATTTATTGTCCCATGAGAAGAATACAATTACACCAGAGCCTTCAAAAACAGGCATACCATCTTCTATCCCCACCTTTTTTTTTGGGTGCCATTAATTCTGCAGCCTCTTCCTGGTTCTTGGGACATAGCAGCTGACCTGCCTCCAAAAACTTTCTGGTGACCTCCTCGGAGCTACGTCCTGAGGAGAAAAAAAGTCACGTAGAAAAAAAAAATTAAAGGGCTCTCCCTGATAATGCCATCGTCTATCAATAATTCAGAGTTTCTCCTAAGATGATAAGTGTGTAGAAGTGTTACTATGCTGTCTCCTCTAGAACTGATCAAGATGGGATTCAAAGTTTGACATATCAGATTAGTTTAACTGAAGTAGCACAGACAATTTTCTCTTTCCAAAGCTTACCTGCTCAGGGTCATCCTTTACGGAGTGGGAATGAGGTTTTTCCTATATCAGATTGGCAGGGATCTTGGAAAGGGAGGTTTCACCTTCCTCTGGCATGGGGACGGAGAAGGGTTGCTGGCTAGGATCATCTGGGCACATGCACCAGAATGGTTCTCTGCACTGCTCTCTAGTGAGCTGTAAGACTTCAGTCTAATCCAGGTGATTGGGCTCAGTGCAAGAGTAACTTGGAGTGGCAGCAATCTGATGTGCTGGAGGTCAGCTTAGATGATCTGTGGGTCCCTTCTGGCCTCAAACTCAAAGGCATTGAACAGACATAGAGGTAACAGGGGTGAATGAACACATAAGGTCCTCTCCATATTAGTGCCACCAACACACTTGCTACAATCATATTCAGGGCCATCCCTAAGGAGATGCAGGGTCTTGGGGAACCCACCCCCAAGTCCCAGGTATGGGGCACAGGGCAACTTCCCTGTTGTAGGCCTCACCCTCACCCTCCCTCTGCTCTACCCCTCCCTGCCCACACTCCACTTCTTCCCTAAACCCCATCCCTGCTCTGCCTGCACTCTGTTCCTGCTCTGCACCCTTGTCACCTCCCCTATTCAATACAGCTTGGGGTTTAACGGGGCCTGGCGTGTGGCAGCAACAGATGTCATCCCTCACTATGGTGGCGGGATCCAGAGTGGCCTGGCAGCCTGCTCCGCCCTGTCCTGCTGTGCCCCACTTCTCCATGCCAGCAGAAAGCAGCTTTTGGGGTGAGGCTCTCTATTTTCTGCTGATGCGGAGAAGTGGAGTATAGTGGATCCAGCCACTGTAGTGAGTGTGGGGGGTAGAGAGGACCCCTGCTGCCACCTTGTGCCTGGCCCTGTAATCCCCCAAGTTCCTCCCATCCATAAGATGGTTGAGGCAGCAACTGTGGGGGCGGGGCGGGGGGGAGCACAGGGCCTGGGGCAAAGCACAGGGCCTGGGGCAGCTCTGATCATATTTCAACATGACTGATGGAAACAAGGGGTTTCCACAAAGGATCTAGCACAGTTTCCTAAACCAGGCGTAGGCTCCATTGTGCTGACTTCTGGGTTCTATCGGTCAAAACGAACAAAAAAAGAAAAAGCTAAAGTAATCACATTATTGAGGCGTCCTTACCAGTAACAGAATCAATCATGGCCTTCATCTTCAGCTTGAGAAGTTCACTCAACAGGTGGACTGACCTTCGCTGGAACTTGAGGAGTATTTGTTGATTTTCTGCTGAAGGAGACATGTAGCAGGGCTCTGACAATGTGCCTCTTGTGATAGATTTCCTGACTGCATGGCTCTTGTAGGTTGTGCTAGAGAAAGATGATTCCATGGTGGGAACAAAGTGAACCACAGGATAGTACTCTCCAGTTACGGCTTTCCTCTGTGTCGTTACTGTTAGCTCCTCCCATGTGAACTCAAAGAGGTTCTTGACCCCTCGTGGCACATGGATGCCCAGTTTACGGCAGAATGCAAGCAGCTGGATGATTTGGGCCAGCATTTCTGGTGCTCCCACTTTAAACTTTTCATACAACTTGGCATCACTCCTTTTGGCACTCATTCCACCTGTGTAGTGATTTGACTTATGGGTATTTCATTTGAGGTAGCCTATCAGAAAACAGATGATGAAACAATATCTATCTTCCATCATTGGCCTATGCTACAGACAAGGTGACCAACACAAATATGTTCCACTGGAATAATAGTAACGAGTGTATAATGGTTAAATTTCAATAATATTAATAGTTTACATTGATATAGTATAAGGCCGTGGTCACCAACCAGTAGATCGCGATCTACCGGTAGATCTCAGGGGCTCCAAGAATAGCTCTTGAGCCCTCTCTGAACTGCGCACCTGTGCAGTGCATTTACATTAGATTTCCTCATGTAATGTAGGCGGGGCAGTAGATCTTCACCTGTTCTGAGACTTAAAAAGTGATCTTGGGTGTAAAAAGGTTGGAGAGCACTGGTATAAGGTATTAATTGATTTTGGTGGACTGCCATGTGCTTTGCTAACTAATTAAACTGATATACAAATGAACCACTTCATCCAGGACTGAATTGAAGCCACTAGTGTTGGAATATGGCAGTTGTTTAACAGCACACAGCCACACCACACAGGAATTTCAGACTGTTTTCTTGTGTCAAGCATTCTTCAGGTGTACATGAGGTTACAATTTAAGTTGAACACATTGAAACAAGGGATGGGAGAAAGTGAAAAAGGATAGCAAGGTGAAAGATAATAAAAGATATTCATAATTGCCATGTACTGTACTTCTCTCATTTTGACTTTTTAAAATTAGTGTATCCAAATGTATGGACAGCAAGCCAAATCCTGATACACTGGAGCTACTCTGGATTTGGTATCTAAAAACTAGTGTTTTACATGCTACAAGTGTCTTAGATAAATCAACTTGACTTACATTAGTATTAATGAGAACAGAATCTAGTGCAATGTCTAACTTGAAGGACAAATAGTGAATGGGATTATCCTATGAAGCTAAATCAGCAAAGGGAATTTGTGTACCGTATTTTCCGGCGTATAGGGCGACTGGGTGTATAAGACGACCCCCTATCTTTTTAATTAAAAGATAGGGTTTCATCTTATACTCCAGCGCCCCTCCGCCTCCTTTGCTCCCGGTGTCCCTGGTCTGCTGGAGATGGTCCCCAGCAGACCAGAGGCACCGGGAGCAAAGCCGC